TTTATTATTATTTTACCTTTATCAAGGCAGGCAAAGTACAGATGCTGTACATTAAAAACATACAAATACATTACTCACAGCACATCAACTCCTACAGGCAAAGAGACTGGGAAGCACTGCTCCTCTGAAGCTCGGAGCCGCAGCTAAATGTACAAGGAGCCATCTGCTGGTCCCACGTAGCCAACGCCAATCAGCAAGACGTCTATCAGCGTCCATATCCCCAGGCCGCCGAAGCTGAAGAGCTTGCCAAGGCCTTCCCGCCACTGACCCAGGTAGAAACGGTCAGCGCCAAACCCCCCGAGGGTGATGCTGCAACAGCAAACAGGAAGGGGGTCCATCAGCCATACCCCCCAGGGTAGCTCAAAAATGGCACAGAGTCGCACTTGTAAAAGGGCCTCAAATGATCACAACCCCTGATGAGAACACAAACATACAACGTCAAATAATCATGGGCCAGAAGACTGTTTTAATGTCAAAAGGAGGGGCGCCTGGGTGGCTCAGTCGGTTAAACATCTGACAGCAGCTCACTAAGGTCATGATCTCGTGGTCCAGGAGTTCGAGCCCCACGTTGGGCTCTATGCTGACAGCTCAGGGCCTGAAGCCTGCTTTGGATTCTGTATCTCCCTCTCTCTCTGCCCCTCCCTGCTCGCGGGTGCACGTGCACTCTCTCTCTCAAAATAATAAACATTAAAAGAATTTTTAAAAAAGCCAGAAAGTCAAAAAATTTTTAGCTATACTGAATCTGAAGTTCATCTTCTGAAGAAAAGTAATCCGTCTCATTGCTTTTTCATCTAGAAAATGGCATATCCAGAACAAAGCAGGGAGCCAGTCCAACAGGAAGTACACGGACAGAGTCAGGAGGTGGTGTCATCATGAAGCAGCCCAACACCTCCTGACTATCCCAGATCAAGTCGCCTGAGCTCTGTCACTCATCTCCAAGCAATGAGTGTCGAGAATAAGTGACTTTAAGGTTCCTCCAAATTCTAAGATCTAATGCTATTCAGACAACTTCTCGTTGTGCTTCTTTTAAATGTTTCATCATGGAAAATTTCAAGCCATGTAAGAGTAAGAAGAGAAGAGAGCAGTACCCATGACCCAGCTCCAACAATTCTCAGCATGTGGTCAACCCTGTTTCACCCGTACTCCCACCCCCCCAACCCCCGCATTGGAGTACTTTGAGGTAAACCCTGGACATTCTCCCATTCAGGGAATATTCTGAAAGAAATGATGCTGAGCTCTGAGCAGAAAACTATTCTTACATTTTAAAAGTCAAGCTGTTAAATGTACCATGGTAATTTAAGATGTTAACAATCTTGGGGCAACCAGTTGAGAGGGGGACAGGAACAATCACTGTAACTTTTCTGGAAGTCTGAAGTCATTCCAAAATAAAACATTTACTTAAACAAAAAGTCAGTTGTCAGTTTTCATTTGAACCACTGCTGACAAAGACCCTGGCCAGTTAACAAATCTCGTTTTTGTTGTATCTAATTTTCTATTTTGGACGTTTACTTTCCAGCTGTGACTTCCTGCCAGGCAGGATCTGGTCTCTCCTCAGCCCAAACCCTAAAGCAGTGGTTCTCACAAAGCAAGGGGCTTTGCTAAGGGGCAACTTAGCAGTATCTAGAGACACAGGAGTGCTACTGGCATCTAGTAGGTGGAGTTCAGAGATGCTAACCACCCTACTGTGCACAGGACGGTGCCACAACAAAGAATTATGTGGCCCGAAAGTCAACAGTGATGAGGGTCAGAAACCTAGCCCACATCACACAGGCCACAGGGTCTCAAGCTTTAATGCTAAACCTTCAACTGTAGGTGCCCCGACTTTTAATTAGTGAATTGTTTAACCAGCATCCCACCTGCCTTCCCACTGAGGGAAAGAATTGGTACAATTTTTTCCCCCAAAGCTGTTGAAAAGTTTCACAAATTCAAGCACATTTTAATGTTAAAATTGTAAGTCCATGCTTATCTCTGGATGGTGGAATTACAGGTGATTTTTAGTGTTTTATTTGGTCATTTTCAATTTTTCCAGTTTTACTAAAAACCGAGTACTGGGTAGGTATCAGTTTTTATAATAAAGGAGGAAATTACTAAAAATTAACGCTATGAATCATAAACCTATCCATCCGAAATAGCATATAGCATTTTTGCTGAATCACAATACATTCAGGATGGGGAAACCATGACTGGTTCTAATTATCTATAATAATGATTCGGTAAGTCATCTCAAAAAGTATGCAGGCATCCTGGGAGAAAGGCTAACATCCTGCCATTAAATTCCATAAAGGGACTGGTCTGATCATCTCACTAACCCCGTGCAGCTTCATTTCCTAGGCCTAGCCAACAAATGTGAAAGAATCTGAGTGAAGGAGGAACTCGGCTGAGTTCAATGTATGGAAGATTCCACTGATCCCAATGGAACCCAAATGGCACCCTCAACTTACCAGTAGCCACGCTTACCTCAGAGCCAGAGCAGTAGACCACTTATAACCTCCAGTCCAGTTGCAGTATAGCATTTTTGGAAAAGTACGGTTACCTTAAAAAAAGGGAAAATACTCTACATTAGAAACATGGGTAAACAAATACTCTTACACAGAGACTAATGGCCTTGTAATGTGAAACCTAAAAATCAACTCTTTATGGTAATTAAAGTTTGCCACGGTCAATGGTAGAAAGAAAGTCCTTACCATCTCTAAGCATACATTTAATATTTAATCAGAGAAGGAAGGATTACAGTTTGAAGTATGTGAAACGCCCTACCAGCTATCAAGGCTTCAGCGAAGTTTAGGGTCAGACAGTGTGGTACTGAAACAGACAAATCAAGCAATGGGAAAAGGAGAGAGCCCAGTGTCCCCGCCCCCTCCCCGACACACACACACACACACACACACACACACACACACTCTCTCTCTCTCTCTCTCTCTCTCTCTCTCTCTCTCTCTCTTCCTGTGGGAGACAAGGCACACGCAGACTGGCCTAGACACTCGGGAGACAACTGGCTATCCACGTGGGGAGAAAAGTAAACCTGCATCTACTTCACACCACATTCCCAACACCAATTCCAGGTGGATTACAGACCTATATGTGAAAGGCCAAACTTCCAACTTTCAAAAGAAAATATAGGAAAAAAAAAGGGCTATGAAAGGCTAATAACTTCAACTAACTAAAATTTTCAAGTTCTACTAAAAAAAAAGTCAAGTTCTATTCAAAAGACACACACACAAAGTGGAAAAACTAAAAGTCTGGGAAAGGGTTTTAGGAACACCAAAAGGTTATTATCCAAAATATAAAAGAATTTCCAGAAATTTTTAAGAAAAAGACAAAACTTATGAACAGTAAGTACTGGAGAACATGTCGATTAAGAATAGTTATGTACCAGGGCATCTGGCTGGCTCAGTGGGCTAAGCATCTGAGTCTTGATTTCGGCTCAGGTCATGATCTCAAGGTTCATGGGTTCAAGCTGAGCCCCTGTCGGGCTCTGCGCTGACAGCACAGACTCTGCTTGGGATTCTCTCTCCCTCTCTCTCTGCCCCTCCTTTGCCCTCTCTCTCAAAATAAATACATAAACTTAAAAAAACAAAAAAAAAAGGAACAGTTAGTTATGTACCAATAGTGGGAATGTAAATTGTTAAAACCATTTTGGAAAACAGTACATGCTAGAGAGTATATGCTACACAAACTTGTGCACACCTGCAACCAGGAGAGGATACGTACAAACACTTTAAAAGCACCACAATCTGTGAGAGCAAAAAACTGTAAATAATCCAAATACACAGGAGAATGGATAAACTATGATACAATTTCACAGTGGATATTATACAGAAGAAAATAAATAGATAAAACACATGGATGAATCTTAGAGACATGATGTTGAGAGGAAAAAAGAAAGTACAGGAAGATCATAAACAGACTATTATTTTACAAAAGCCTAAAAACATGCATCATTGAATAATATATCACACTATATTTTGTTATATACAAGTGACAGAACTATACAAAATGTAAAGCAAAGGAAGTGGGATGATGATGAAAAGAAAATTCACCAGGGCAGTCACCTCTTGAGAGAAGGTAGGGCACTGGGTGCAGGAAAAGCACTCAGGTAGTTTCAGTGGCATCAGACTGTTTTAGTTGTTAATTTGGGTGAAATGCTATTACTATACATCAGGCTTTATACCTTACACATTTTTTTCTTGTTTGTTCAAATATTACATTTTAAAAGATAAGAGAATTACAAGTTTTCTAGGTTTTTTTTAGTTCATTGAGTTTATTTATTTATTTTTCAGTTGACATATGATGCTGTATCAGTAATTCAACAACGATCTGTTAAGCTGTTCTCACCACAAGCGTAGCTACCGTCTGTCGCCACTGAGTTTATTAGTGAGGCTTGGCATAACTAATAAATGTTTCTGATTAGACAACTGAATTGTCTAATTGCTAATTAAAGTTCCACATGCAAGCTTAAAGGAAAGTTTTCTGCTCACGAACTTCGCTGAACCCCACTTACCCAAGCAGTGAATGTGGTCCCGCACCGTGCAGTTGGCAGTGTAGCGTTGCCGAGGACAGGACACGGTCATGCAGCTGGTGGAGTTGGAACACTCATAATCAGTTTCTGGAAGCTGCCAGCAAAACCTGCAAGTCATGTTGATGACAAAGTTCTTTTGGGATTTGAAGTCTTGATCCTAGATGCCCAAGGACGTAAAATGAATCAATCATCATATAGCAGTTAATATGCCAATAAAAATACAAGGCACAAAGCTTCTAAAAGACTTCTCCTCCTGGTAGAAAGTGCAGAAAAACAGGTACAAACCAATATGTGTGCAAAACAAATGTATATGGTATGATCCTATTGTCATGAAAATATACACCCCAAAACATATACCTAAGGGAAAAAAATCTACATAAAGTTACATCAAAATAACAACAGTCATTCCAGGATGGTAAGATTATTTTACCACTTTCACTTGTATAATTTTTCATAATGAGCATGTGTACTTTTGTAATACAACAAAAAGGGGGGGGTGTATTTTATCAAGCCAGAGTCACAGAGAGCTGGAAGGATGGATGAGTACATCTGTTCAAGGTCACTGAGCTGCAAGTGATGTGTAGAACCCATGTTCCCCAACTCCAGTCCGATGCTCCCAGGAGTACAACACAGATGGGCTACCGAGTCTCAAATCAAGTCTCAAATCTCCACTATGGCCCAGTACCACAGGGCTGTTACCACTGCTCACATCTCTACTGGGTAAGCACTCAACTCAGAACCACACTCAACAAAGGTTCACTGTTGGTGCTAAGCTTTTAAGACCAGAGGGTTTTTCACTTTGATTTAAAAAAAAAATCATTATTTTGTTTTCTGCTTGTAAGAGTAGGACATGCACTATGTGTGTTGCACATTTGGAACTTACAAGAAAAAACCTGTAACCTCCCCAGAGTGAACCACTTTCAATCTTTCCTTATTTCTTCTGGTAATATAGATTTATGTAAGTGCAATTATACTGAAATCATTTCGTATCCTTTTCCCCCCATTTGACATTACACTGCAATATATAATTTCCAAAATCATTTTTAAATGGTCAATCACCTCTGGAGGTATCAATTTATTAATTTTTTTCATCAACGCAAAACTGCTTTTGTGAATAGCATCCAAAACTGGGTAAGGCACCACTTGACTTAGGCAATATTGTTTTATGTATCTAGTGATACAGTGATAACACATGCTTATCAACTGTTATTTATATTTATTTATTTTTAATGCTATTTTTGACAGAGAGTGAGCAGGGGAGGGGCAGAGAGAGAGGGAGCCCACAGAATCCAAAGCAGGCTCTAGCCTCTGGACTGTCAGCACAGAGCCTGATGTGGGGCTCGAATTCTCGAACCCCGAGACCATGATCTGAAACAAAGTCAGACGCCTAACTAACTGAGCCACCCAGGTGCCCCTTGTTATCAATTGTTTTTTAAAAACTAGACAATACATGGGGGTGCTTGGGTGGCTCAGTTGGTTAGGCGTCTGACTTCAGCTCAGGTCATGATCTCACAGTTCGTGAGTTTGAGCCCTGCGTTGGCCTCTGTGCTGATAGCTCGGAGCCTGGAGCCTGCTTCAGATTCTGTGTCTCCCTCTCTCTCTGTTCCTCCCCCACTCACGCTCTCTCTCTCTCTCAAAAATAAATAAAGATTAAAAAAAGAATTAAAAAAAATCCCAACAACTAGGCAATACATGTGGTACAAACTCCCAGACAGGACAGGAGCGAGGAGGAAGCTGGTCCAGCCCAGCCATCAGCAGCCACTGCCCTCTCCAGCAGCAAGTGCTGCTTAGCCTCTGGCCTTCCAATGAATCTATTCTACGCATGAGCATGTTTATGTCACATATATTTCTTTATTTTTTAAATTTAAGTTTCCACTGATATTTACTTTTCACTTAATTTTGTAGCTATCAGTAAATAGCTCAAGATCTGCTTCATTCTTTTTAGCAGCTGCTATTTATTTCATTTCATAATGAGTCATAAACAGTTCTCTCTTGGACATTTAGCTTGTTTTAAATCTTCCGTCTAGGTGAACAATGCAGCTAAGAATATCCTCAGGCATATTTGTTTGTAACCACGTACAGTATCTGTGAGATAAATTTCTAGATAGGGAACTGCAGTCACAAGTTCTATATATCTGTAGGTTTCATACATATGACAAGTGCCTACATAAGAGGCTGGCCATCTGCCTACCCACTAACAAGATAGGAGTGTCCCTGGCATCCTCACGAACTCACACTGTTGCTAAGATTTATTACTTTCTTGCCACCTGGTAAGTTTAAAAACACATGCATTTTTATTGCTTTAATTACAAGGAAAATTAAATAGTTTTTTTCGTGTGTTGAAAGCCCATTTACCTTTCCTTTCCTATGAACCATCTACTTATGTCCTAATACCATTTTTCTATAGGACTGTCATCTCTTTCTCATTTGCTTTTAGGAAATCTTTTTTTTTTCTTTTATGTTTATTTTGAGAGAGAGAGCATGTAGGGGAGGGGGAGGAGGAGGAGGGGGGGGGAGAGGGAGAGAGAGAGAGAGAGAGAGAGAGAGAGAGAGAGAGAGAGAGAGGAGAGGATCCCAAGCAGGCTCCACACTGTCAGCACTGAGCCCTGATGCAGGGCTCGAACTCAAGAAACTGAGATCATGACCTAAACTGAAATCAAGAGTCAGAAGCTTAACCAACTTGAGCCATCCAGGCGTCCCTGGAAATGTTTAATGCGTTATTTGTCACCCATGTTAGAAATGGTTTTTTTACTTAGTTTGTCATTGATCTTTTGCCTTTATGCTTTTTTAGGTCATTTTTAGTAGTCAAATGTATCAATTTGTTCTTTTACGGCTTCTAAATTTTACTTCATACTTAGGAAACTATTCCTTTTGAGATGATAACAAAACAATCTCAAGCTTTCTCTGCTACCTCATGGTTTCCTTTCATCACCTTAAATCCCTGATCTTTCTGAAGTTTATTTTTAACAAAATAGGGATTCCACTTTTTTCCACACAGTGACCCAGGCATCCCAGCACCGACTGCACCTGCCTGCTCCTCAGGAAAGAACGGACCCCTTCAAAAGCTGATCTATAGGAAAAGTTATCTGTTACCTTTCCCTCTGTGAAACAGCTGTCATTACTTAGAATCCAGAACCCATCAGAAGGAATTATACTGCTTCAGATACACTGGCAGACTGATCACTTCTCCAAGTGATACAAAACTGCATTTCTGACAAGCACATTTCCAGCTGACCTCAACTGGCTTGATGGTTGCCATTACAACTGGAACAGGAGGGGTTGGCAGGAGTTGCTGGATTTTTACATTCATTTCTATAAAAGAATCCAGATGAGATTCCCTTAGCCTGGGAGTCCCTAGTCAGTATGCATGGAGAAGGACTCGAAGAGTTAATTTTTTTTTCCATTAAGTTCAAAATAAGAGGGGGCAGGAGGCACCTGAGTGCACGCACATGCCAGTGAGAGAAAACAAGGATTTGCAGGTGAAGGTCGTGGATTATTTCTTTCTGAAACAGTAACTCAGTTACCAAGAAGGGACCCTACAGATCTTCATTAACAAACAAGTTAAAAACACATGACTTGTCATGGACAGCCTGGCGACAGCAGTCCTAAGACTCATGTCTCCAGGTAGTCAATTCGTGCATTTTACCACTCTCTAGTTTTCAGAACAGACCAAAAAACTCCCTTGGCGGCAGACTTCAAATTCTACACCTGACAACCAGGCAGCTGCAATTTTATAGGACTCACTATTATTGGCTAATAGAGGAGGCAGGTGATGTGAATTCCTCTGGAGAAGAAAAGAAAAAAAATCCCACCCAGCCCTGGTGAGGGCTGTACCAGGCACCATGACCAAGGAGTTCCGAAACTTCCCTAAGCTTTATAATTTCTCTACCTTTGTTATTTTTTGATATCTGCTGCCATTTTCTACTAAATGAAACCGTTTGTTTTTGGAACATCTAAAGAAGAAAGAAATTGAGAAGTATGTCTTACTCTGTAACCAGTTTTCGGAGATGAAAGTCAAAGCAGCTGAGGCAAACAACAAAGGAGGCTAATTCTGGACAAGTTCCCCTTCAGAGTCTTTCCATTTTTCAGTAAGTAGCTACTATCTGTCAGACCCACGAGACATAAATTTTTTTGTACTTTTTATACTTGATTAGAGTTGTCACACAACGTTACATTAGTGTCCGGTGGAGATAAAAATCTTTAAAGCCTTCAAATAAAGAAGTTTAGCCAGACTGCATTTAAGACACAGTAACAAAGACTAATAATTCAAGGGCAGTCATCAAGACTATCTGACTCAATTTTCAAGTGTGCTGATACAGTATACAAAATGGTAACGTGTTTATAAAAAAACAAATTCAGACAACGACAGCGTAAAATCTCATTTCCCCTATGAAGTGAAGCCTTCCTCACTCCCTTTCTGATACTAGACTTCATCAGGAAAATTACAGAAAGAGTCTAGGGGTGGAAGGAACTTTCCAATCTAGCCCTCCATAGATTAAGTTCCAAACAACGCAGTGGGAAGGAACCCTGCTCAAGCGACAAAAATGCTAGAACTGCCAGGTCAAAAGAGATCTGCAAAAGAGGACATAGTATGGAATCCGTTCCTTCCTTCTCAACAAGTTCCCAAAAACAGGGTTCCATGGACACATGTTAGAAAAAGCTGTTCTGGGCCCATCCGCTCATTCATCTTATTTAACAAGAAACAGATTAATAAATACTGCAGCGAGTTACGGCAGGGTCAAGAGTAAAACACTACTTCATTATTCGTTTTTAGTCTTCATCTCACCCAGACACGAGGACTGTCGCCCCAAACAAGGGAGTGTGCAATAATTTACCTGGTCCAGTTGTTAAAACTGCAGACACCAGAGTCTCCCTAACCTACTCACATTCAGCGGGTCTGGGGCTGTCTCCAGGAATGATTGTAACGGCAGCCAAAGTCAGGTAGCTCAGAAGCAGGTACCCCTAGAGAACTCTATGGAACACCAACTAGGAGAGCCTTTCTAGGCTCCTTCCTCTCTCTGTCAAAATGCAAGGAGACAGGATATAGGTGTGATGACTGTAACAGGGTCATTTCTAATAGGCCTTTTCTATTTCTGGCTTTCTCTAAGAAGTCTGATAACTGCTCCAATTTAATCTGTCAAAAAATTCCCATCTGGGGGCGCCTGGGTGGCTCAGTCGGTTAAGCATCCGACTTCAGCTCAGGTCATGATCTCGCGGTTCGTGAGTTTGAGCCCCACATCGGGCTCTGTGCTGACAGCTTGGAGCCTGGCGCCTGCTTCGGATTCTGTGTCTCCCTCTCTCTCTCTGCCCCTCCCCCACTCATGTTTGGTTTCTGTCAAAAATAAATAAATAAATATTTAAAAAAATTTGTTTTTAATTGCCAGGCAACCAAACCTTCCGTGGCAATGAAAGATTCAGTCTTCTGATCAAGTTGTCTTTGTTCCTAAAATATTACTTGTAGAATGCAGAGCACCTTCTTTCAGGATTTCCCCTACAGTCACATCTACACTATACTTATAACTTGAGGTTTACAATGAGTTCATTTAAAAGAATTAAGTTGCAGTACTTACAACACAGGTAACAGAAGGTTTGACTGTGCAGTCAAAAGTGACAGGCTTCCCATAGACACAGGAGTAATTTGTCCTGCATTCTACACAGTCTGCAGGAAGTCTGCTACACAAACCATTACTTGGACACTTCATCACATAAGGTGGGATATCAGTACTTTCTGTGAAAAGTAAGAGAGAAGCTCATTTTCATATAATATTGATCAGAATCCCAGGAGAATACAGTTTCCTAAGGTTAAGGGACATGGTTGCTAGCAATGAACTACTGGGCTGGAATGGAAAATGCACGGAGTTGGGAGTCGGAGACACCTGCAGTTCAAGCAAGGTTCTGCCAACCAAGCTGTGTGACCTGATGCAACAACAGTTCAACAGCTAAGTAAAAAGGATTTAATTACTGCCCCCGCAAATGGGCATGAAAAGCAAAGGTGCTTATGAACATATAATGTAGACACAAAGCTAGGTGTAAGTTAGGGCCTCAGAAAAATCTACTCTAACAAGATGAACAATTAAAAGTTTAGCAATGGCAAAGTTTGTTCAAGATCACAGAGGGAGTGACAAAACTGGAACAACCCAAACCCGTTTCTAATCCAATATTCTTTTCACCTGAATTCACGAATTTGGTAATTACACCACTGACCCTTTAAGCGAATCAAACAGTACAATAACGGTACCAACTTTGGAAAATGCTCTCTGTCGTTATTCCACATTGGTACTTCAATAAGCCATGATTTGCAGGTAATAAGGAAATTTAAGTTTCAGATTACAAAGCTGAACATAGCCCTCTATATTAGTAACTGGTTCACTGGGTTGCAATTTTTCCCCCAGCCAGCCTTGCTGGGAGTAAAATATATTTATCAATTAAGAGAGGATCAAATTGCAAGTATTCTTGGGGAGGAAGAGAGGCTTTCAAAAACATCCAAAAGAATAAAAAAAATTTTGTGCTCTATAATTTTAGATTCAAGAATGGTGCTGTCTTGTCGTGATCTTTACATCCATATAAGAATCAGTAAAACACCTCTGCCAGTTTCAATTCATTGAAATAATGGAACTGTAAAGGGATGACCTATAGAGACAAAGGTTCTGTTAAGCAAAACACACTAATACTCATTTAAAACTGGTCCCACTTAAAGTCACTGAATTATGTGGGCAATTCTACAAATATCATTTTTCTTTTCTTTTATTCGATTATTTTTGGGGCTGGGAATTGGAAACTTAGAAATCACAAAGCCCAAAAGACTTTAGAGGGCCAGGCTAACCTCACCACCCTAAAGACAAGGAAAGTGAATCCTGAAGGGTAAATAATTTGCTCAAACTTCCAGTAGTTCAACCAAGCAGACTGAGACTCCAAGTCTTAGTCCCTCTCATCCTTCCATTTCACACAGCCTTGGGAGGAACCTTTAATATCCAACATCAGGAACGGGGTATAAGAAGAAAAAGAAATTTTCTGAAGGGAAAGAAGCATTGGTTGAAGGTGATCTTGATGAACGAGGTGGCAAAATAATAGAGAGATAGAAATGAGGAATGTGGAATTGGAAAAAGAGATGTGGCTGGAATGTCAAAAGGAATTGCAATATCAAGACAGTCAACAGAATACATCTGGGTAGCTGTCTTTAGTTCACATAACCTAAAATACCATAAAGAGTTCAAAAAAATGGAAAGTGATTTTTATCTTAAAAAGAGGAAGAAATAAACCACTAGATATAAATACACACATTTACTAGAATAGAAAATATCTAGTACCTGCTGCCCTGGGAACTACTGTGAAAGTACGTGTTGGGCCCGGATCCTTTATTGACTGAGCCAGCGGCTGCGACTGCTCTAAATTTAAGGATCCTACAATTAGAGAAACATGTTATCCTGGGATATGAAAACCTTGGTTTGTGTGCTTAAGACGCAAGGTCCACACCAGGCCCGTAACTGCTCAGAAAAACTCACAGCTTGACGACCCAGAAAACTAAACAAAGAAACGCCAAATAGGGTCGACACCTATTTAGATCAATAGGCAACTAGGGAACAAAGCGTTGGTGTCGGGCTCCAGGTCCGCTTCCCCGGCCAACACCCGAGCCCTGGGTCTCCTGCTCGAGGGCTCCCTGGCCCAGCTCGGCGCCTCCGGGGTCCCGGGGCGGAGTGGGCGGCCAGGACCCGCCAGACGGAGCTACAGCGATCAGCCTCCGCCCTTCGCCCTCCGCCCACGGGCCTAGCGCGGACACCTCCCGCCGCTCCCGGGGTACCATTCAGCCGGACCCCGCGTGGACCCCGGCCTTTAACTCACCCCCGCCCGACAAGATGTAGAACTGGGAGAGGAACAACAGCACGCGGCAGAGGCGGAGCAGGACCCCCAGCGGGACGCCCGCCGCCACCATCTCGCCGGTGCGCGCGCACTTCCGGGCCACGAGGCGGGACTGGGCAGAGGGGCGGGGCGCCGGCGCGCGCGCCGTAGGGGCGTGTGCGAGCGCGGCCTCGGAGAGCCCAAGGCGCAGGCGCGCGGCGGGCGTTGCGTGGGTTCGGCTGGGCCCGGCAGCTGGCGTCTGGCTGGTGCGCGCGGACTTCCGTGTCCCGAGGCGGACTGGGCAGAGGGTTCCCGGGGCTGGGGTGGAGGTGGGGTAAGGTCGCGACGCCTAGAGGTTGTTTGCTTCCCTAGTGTACCCCATGCCCGCTGGACGAGGCGCTCGCTTCGCCTTCCTTGGCTAGCGACTGGCGAACGTCCCCCGGGACCGAAATTCACACCTGAAGTGGCTGCAATCAGAGGCGGGCAAATTTGGGAAGTTGGCCACCATTTATATGGGCTGGCTGTGAGGTTGAAAACTGCTTTGTGCTCGGTACTCTGCGAAGGTTTTGATGATGTGTTTGATTTCATACTGAAAAGGTACTTATTGACAGATGAAGAAACTGTGGCACAAACCCAGTTGGGGAAGTGACCCCCAGGGTGTGGTAGGCAGCCCCAAAAGGACCCCCATTCCCTGTGTTGCCGACCTGATCAGTGCCCAGCTAGCATCTCTCTCTGGTCAGCTGTTGGTTTCATCACTAGCCAACTCCTTAAAGACATACATTACTTCCAGAAAGTTCCTCAGAGCCTGGGAGAGGACAGTAAGTATACCTGTCAAGTATTCAGGTCCAGAAGCACTGGGACAAGAACCCTGGGATGTGAAAGGAGGGTCCAAAGCATGAGCCCCTCCCTGGTGAAGGCCAGCCTTGGGGAGGGGAGCTGAACCCCAGGACTCTGGCTCCCTGCGTGCTCATAAGGCAGACTGTACCTATTTTTGTCACACTATTCTTTGTCCTGTGTTGCTGACCTGCGTTCCCCTTTTCCACCCACCTGGCCCGAAATTCTTTTGGGGGCCTCCTGACTCCCCATTCCCTCACTAGCCAGTTTGGATGAATGAAAAGAGTATATTGAATGGTGGCTGGTACACAATAAGACCTTAATAAATATTACCCTAAAAATTATATCACACAATTTGCACACCTTTTAGCACTATACAGGTTTGATATAAAATGCAGTTTTGTTTATTAACTGTTCAGGATGCTAAATAATAAATGTGTTGAGAAGAGAGAGCATGTCTTCAATTTATTTTGAATTGCACAGCACCTAGCCAAATAAGCACCCAATAAATACTTCTTGATCGGTAGCTAAATTCTCTATTGGCATAAAGCTATTTCAATCCTGTTCTGAGCAGTAAGGTATTCCTCTCAGTTAAAAGCAAAACTCCATTTACATTGTGAAACTGACTAAAGGAAACTGTATTTAAGATGGAGTCAGGAGGCCAGAAGGGCCAGCTCTTATGCCCTACCACTCCTAATGGACTACACATCCAACTGCAAGAGAGGCACCTTGCATTCCCAACAGGAAGAGCCTATACTTTGCTACCCCAGCAAGAGGAAGATTTTCTCTTTGCTGCAACAGCCCCGCCAATGAGAAGCAGTCACAACTCACTAAAGAAAAGCCACTACAGTTGAAGCTCCCAGTTTACTCCAATGGACTTTTTGATCACAGCAGTCCTTCCCAATTCCGCCTCCCACCTTTGCTCTATAAAAAAACAGCCCTCTCTCCTGTGTATGGTTTTGCCATAGCTAACCTGTCCCAAATTATAATTATCTGCTATTCCCGAAAGAATCCATTTCTGCTGATAAAATAGCTGACAGTTTTGGGGCACCTGGATGACTCAGTCAGTTAAGCGTCCAACTTGGGCTCAGGTCATGATCTCGCACTCCGTTGAGTTCGAGCCCCACCTCAGGCTCTGTGCTGACAGCTCAGAGCCTGGAGCCCACTTCAGATTCTGTGTCTCCCTCTCTCTCTGTCCCTCCCCCCACTGCTTGCACTCTGTCTGTCTCTCTCTCAAAAATTAACTTATAAAAAATAACTGACAGTTTTATTTTTAAGGTTAACCGAATGTGTTAATCAGTAATGCGTCATCTCATCAAAAAAGCAATTTAACTCTAGGGGAGCTGCTTACTTATAAGCCAATGGATGAAATACTGGAAACACTGTGTGCTGCATTTTTTTTTTTTTTTTAAAATTTTTTTTAACGTTTATTTTATTTTTGGGACAGAGAGCATGAAATGGGGGAGGGGCAGAGAGAGGGAGACACAGACTGAAACAGGGCTCTCAGGTTCTGAGCCATCAGCCCAGAGCCTGACGCGGGGCTCGAACTCACGGACCGCGAGATCGTGACCTGGCTGAAGTCGAACGCTTAACCGACTGCGCCACCCAGGCGCCCCTTATATAGGAATTTATTTTTTCTACAGATGAATAAGGCTCGATTGTCAATTAGAAGCATTCAAACAGCAACTCTTAACCTATACTGCAAACAACAGTAGATTCTACAACACTGAATTTGAGGTTCAGAGTCCTTGGTCAGTAATCCAGTATTTAGTACTAGCTTCTTGTTTTGAGGTTGTTGGTTAGTTAAGTGATGATTCCAATTTTGGAGATAAAGTTTCAGTGTGAACTTTAGTAAGACAACCATAAAAATACCTGAGGTGTAATGTTACTAGAAAATAAGATTTTCCCTTATATTTAAAAAAGCTTTGCAGATTTTTATTTGAAGCCTATTGTTTGAAAACCCAGTCTCAGCAATAATATCTCATAATCTTCATATCCCAGTATTTCCCCTCTTTCAATGAATAATATTTTCCCATTTAAGTCTTTCAAGGCATTTAGGAAATTAAGAATTTCCCAAGCTTGTCCTCTTACTAGCTTCAGAGACATTAAAGAATTAAACTTTTAATATCAGCTACTCATTCATTGTCTCCTTTCTTACTGAGCCCATCAGTGGGTCAAAAGTTCTCAGAAGTACTAAAGATAATTAAGAAAAATGCATTTTTAGGGTTCAAAACAAGGTTACACGGAAGCAAGAACAAGGAAGAATTTCAAAAGTCTTCCTCAGCATTTAGTGTACGTGATTTCTTGAGAGTCTTCAATTTATCAATGGCAGAAGTTACAGAAATCTCTCCATGAATTTTGTTGTCTCTTGTTCGAACATTTACAGCATTATTCATCTTTTCCTTTTCTCCAACCACTGTGGAAAAGAAAGGGAAATAAACCTATTTTAAATAAATGATATAATAAATATTAAGTCAACAGTCACATGACACATCTTATTGAGTTCTTCTTCAGTATTAATCACTAATTACCAGTCTAATGACCATGAGGTCATCGTCTGATAGTAAACCCTTCAAAGAGGAATGACTTCTAATCCCTTCTCCTTATTGTCCACTTGCAAGAACATATATTGTGGTCTTAGGGTACAAATCAGAACAGGGAGATCTTACAGACCCCCTGACTCCATATGGCATCTGGGGAGGCACCAGACCCATGCCCAACCAGACAACCAGAATTTTCAGAAATGTAGGTAAAAAGAGTTTCTCTCTAGTGCCCCTTAGTGGGATGATGCCAGAATCTGCTGGCATGTTTCTTGTCATGTAGAAGGAAGAAATAGGTCACCAGTTAAGGGGAATAAAGTAGATATTCAAGAAAAACATAAAGAACCAGAGCAAAGTAGGGGCCAGAAATGAAGAGATTTAGTTGACCAGCTTGCTCCAATTACTCTTCTAATGGTTTGGCTATGTAATTCTACCTTCCATGTCATGAGATACTTCATTACACTTCCAAATAAATTCTGTCTTTGTCTAAGTCATGAGAGTTCTGTCACCAGAAGGAGACTGACTGAAACATCACAATACCTACTACACAAATACTTTCAATGACAAATGACTGATAGGACAACACTATGTGTATTTACTTTACCTTCTACAGAATCTTTCAACTTAACTGGAGATAACAGTATCATGCCTGGAGGAATATGGTATCAGTTTCTCTTGATTTCTGACTCATTTTAAAGTCAAAATTTTAGATGCTCATCCAAGTACTCATATGCCTTCAGGACACTTTTTCACTTAAATTCTTTTCTTTTGATCATCTTAAATTTGGACTCTCTCCCACTCATTAGTTTAATCCCAAAGATTTGTAATAAATCAGAAAAGCAAAGGAGAATATTTGAGGCCTGTCACATGGCTGACACACAAAGAGCGTAATTTTACTGATGCAATCATTTTCACATTTTTTTTTTGTTGTTGTTGGTTTGCGATATTAACTACTGCTAGTAATACTAACAACTAACCAAGAACACCATGGACTGTTCTTGGTGCATACGTAACAATCAAACTGTCTTAATCACATAGTTGTACCATACTCATGTAGTTATACTATATTCACATAGTTATACCATTTTGTTTTTTAGAATTAGAGTGAAAAAACAAGCATTTGATAAAATTTAAACTTAAGTTACCCAAAATGAAATTATACTGAGCCAGCTGCGCATTTCGTATTTTCTTATTTAGTGTACAACTATGATCTAAGTCAACGTCGGTCATGAATCCTTCTTCAAAAAATGCATTGGATACCTACAAGAAAATGAAACACTTTCATTATTACAATATTTGTGGTAGCCAGCCTCCGAGAGGACCCACGGGATCCTCGCCTTTTGCATTCACACCTTGCGTCACCTCCTCCACCTTGTACCAGGTTGCTCGATGTGACCACAGAGAAGGGCAGAAGTGAGGGTGTGTCACTTTGGAGATTAAAAGACTTCAGCTCCCACATCTTTAACATCACTCCCTCTGGGGAAACCAGCTGCCATGTTGGGAGGACATTCAGGAAACCTTTGGAAAAGCCCATGTGGTGAGGAACTGAAGCCTCCAACAATGATGTGATTGAGCCACAAGGCTGCAGCCCTGGCTGGCTGACAGCACCACTGGCATCCTTGTGAGGGGCACTGAGCCAGAATCGCCCAGTGAAGCTGCTCCCAGGTTCTGACTCTCAGAAACTATGAGATAATAAATGTTGTCTCAGGCTGCTAAGGTTTGGAGTTAACTGTTATGTGGCAATAGATAACATAAGTATCTTCCTTAACAGAGCCATGTGGAAAAGAATAATTTAAGTATGAGAGATGTATTAAAATCCCAATTTCTTGGGGTGCCTGGGTGGCTTGGTTGAGCCTCTGACTCTTGATTTCAGCACAGATCATGATCTCATGGTCATGAGATTGAGCCCCGAGTCAGGATCTGTGCTGGGCATGTAGCCGGTTTAAGATTCTCTCTTCCTCTGCCCCTCCCCCCACCCCACGTGCTCACCCTGTCTCTCTCAAAAACACAAAAATAAAAATAAAATCCCAATCTCAAAAACATTAAGAAATAAAATAGTTTTAATCCGCTATACAGACATGATTCAGATGTTACTTTCAATTACTGAAAATGTGGGTGGTTAAAGTAATGTATTAGTTATGCAGTATTTTAAGGTATGAATAATATTCCAAGTCAATAACCTTCACAGACTACATGCCGAGATTATTATGTACTTTATATTGTCTCTGATTTTACCTGAAGTGCATAGTTTTCACAAGTTGGCCCCACAGGGATGACCATTACCTGACGAGGAGATAGCCAGAAAGGCCTGAAAAATATATAAAATATATATTTTCAAAATCTAATGATGATCATCTATTATGTGATTTAAAAAATAACCAAAGATTTTCTTTATAAGTAAGACTTCACGTGAGAGCAGATTCAGTAGAGTGGTATGGAAGTAAACTAAACCATACAGAGAGCTAAAAAGGAACAGCGTAGACAAGAGGAGAAGCTAGGGATTATGGTAGGACAGGGAGGGAAGAACAGGGCAGCAGCTGGGAGGAAGGACTAACCATCACTTATTGTACCACTGGACAACTGCACTCCCAGGCCCTCACCCAAGAGAAATGGAAACATGTTCACCCAGAAACCTTCCCACTAATGTTCATGGCAATTTTGCTTAGAATAGCCCCAAACTGGAAACACTCCAAATTTCTTTCAGTGGATGAATGGTCACATGGGTGCCTCCACACCATGGAACACTACCAGCAATAAAAGGGGACCAACCACTGATACTTGAAACAAGTTGGATGGATCTCAAGGGAACTCCAGTGCATGAATAAAGCCAACCCCACACGTTTGCACACTGTATGATTCCATTTATATAACATTCTTGGAATGACAAAATCATGGAGATTTTGGAGAACAGATGAGTGGCTGTCACAGGATGATGAAGGGGGTGGGGGAGAAGGTATGGAACAATAAATTGGTAGCACAAGGAATCCTCATAAATAACAGAATTGTCTTATATCTTGACTGATGCTGGGTACCCTGATAAAATTTTATAGAACTAAACACACACATGCACACAAATGCACATAAACTGGGAAGACCTAAATAACTAAATAAGGCTGGTGGACTGCATCAAAGTCAATTTCCTGGTCATGATACTGTACAGTTTTGTAAGATGTTACCATTGGGGAAACTGGGGAAAGGGTATGCTGGACCTTTCTTATTACTTCTTACCACTACCTATAAATCTATAATGATCTCAAAGTGAAATAAAAAAATATATATTATACATATATGTGTATGTGTATGTGTACATATATATATACACACACATATATATACATATATATACACATATATATGTGTGTGTGTGTATATATATATGTATATAGGAAGTTGGGTAGAAGTATTGTTGGTTTTTTTTTTAACATTTATTTATTTTTGAGACAGGGAGAGACAGCATGAACGGGGGAGGGTCAGAAAGAGAGGGAGACACAGAATCTGAAACAGGCTCCAGGCTCTGAGCTGTCAGCACAGAGCCTGACGCGGGGCTCGAACTCGCGGGCTGCGAGATCATGACCTGAGCCGAAGTCGGATGCTTAACCGACTGAGCCACCCAGGTGCCCCTAAGTATTGTTTATTGTGGGAAATATTTCTTCATCAGTATTTTGTTTGAAGGTGAAAGTAAATGCAGTGGGGACTATTAGCTGGTGGCACTTTATGAACATACACATTTATATATTTATTCTTAAATTACAAAAGCAAAGTAACATGTATGATAAAGCAATAATACATATGATAAAACACAGAAAGACAGCTCTGTCCCCACCCTGTCCCCAGGGGAGCCACATTTTAACCATTGCTATTGTGAGATCTTGGGGAGGTTTTCACCGCAACTCTGGCACGTGTCTTGAACTCTTGACTGATGAGCTGAAGAGCCTGTGCCCTGAGTCTGGGCAATGCAGGACAGCACACTGAGTGCATGGCACCATCTCCTGATTCCACTAGTTCTTTTCACCACCACTACTTGAGAGCAAGACACCACCATCTCCCACCTACATTAAAACTATTTAAAACAATCAACTGGAAAGAAATATCGACATGTTAACTCATACTTAGGTAGCGTGCATACTCATATCTATGTTTTTGGCTTATCTGTAACTTCAACAGCTTGGACACCCCATGATACCTAAGTACATTTCTCTAAGGTCACAAATAAAACCTCAGGGATATACACAGACTCTGGCTTCCCAGGACCTTTGGATGAGCTCTCTGCTTGGAGAATTTCCCACCTTGTACTGCCTGCTCAGAAATTTGCTTTCCCAGCTTCCCTAGACATGTTAGAGTCCAGGCCTATGACCTGGCATGTGCAGGCATGGCATGTTGATTTGGGACAGAGTGGCACATGGAGGGAGGTACTATAGGGAATCAGTTCTGGCAAGGGTGATGCAGAGACATGGAGCTTTGGGAGGGACCTGAGGCAGTGACGCCAGCAGTAGCATCCAGGGCCCAGTGTCAATGGTGGGAGCTGCAGGGACTGTGCCCAGTGACAGCAGAACAGGACTAAAATAGAACTAAGCTCTAAGAGCAGATCTCAATTTCTTTTTTTTTTTAAGTTTATTTATTTTTGAGACAGAGAGAGAGAGAGAGAGAGGAGGTGCAGATAGAAGGGGACCGAGGATCCGAAGTGGGCTCTGTACTGAGAATAGAGAGCTGGATGTGGGGCTTGAACTCATGAATTGTGAGACCATGACCTGAGCTGAAGTCAGATGCTTAACTGACTGATCCACCCAGGTGCCCCTAATTTCTTAAACATAAGATGGGAGGCAAAGATGTCCCATGTGGTTGCTGGGCTGTAGCATTTCCACATGCCATAGGACATGCCATCACAAGACATGTCGTCTGCCAGCTGGTGTCTTGACTGCTGATATGGCAATTCCCTAGTAGCAAATCCCACAATTCAGCTCAGTGACTTACTTCTTTTGCTAAAAAATTACTTCCATGGTCAGAAGGATTATTGTGTTTCTGACAGTCAAGGCTCAGTAAGTATTTATATGGTGCTGTTGTCAGAGGTATGGCAGGAAAGAAGAGCTAAGCAAAATCCAGAGTTGGTATCTTTGCCAGCAAGGAGAAGTCACTGGTCCTTGTATGATGAAAAGGATCCAGAAAGCTGACTTTTCCCCTGGGTTATGGTTCCATACCGGCGATCAGGATTGATCACTACTGATGGCAGATTGAGTCCTCGGAAGAGGCATAGCCAGACGGAACTTGGTGAGGCTCATGTTGTTGAACCCATATCCCCTAGTGGCCGCTTCATTCATGAACCACTGAGTGGTCACTAGGGGAAGATGGAAGCTGATGGTAACCACAGAATGGGTCCTCTATATTTGAATATTAAACTCCTCAGGTTTGGACTGGGCACCACCAACTTCATGGCTTATTCTGAGCAAATATCCACATTCCTCTCCCCTAAATCTACTTGTCATCTATTTTCCAATCCAATTACTTCTAAGTCTCTGACCTTGTGGCCAGAGCAGTAACCAGAGCCTATGCATCAGTGGAAACCCATACCTCTGGCCATTTTTCCTTCCAGAGGAAGAGGACTAAGAGATGTACCACTCAAATTCCTGCACTTGAGGGCATTTCCCTTCCACATGTCATCCCTAAGTGGTACCGTGCTACAGTAGCTGTCTGGCCTCATTAGGTTTGTGCCAAAGTATTGTTCAGACCCATTTGTGAACCAGGTTTAAATGTTTTTCTTCTAATGTTGACTGGGCGCCCCCATTAGGTAAACAACATGGACTGAAGGAGGGATGGTCATACAGCAAGAGGTGGTAATCTCAGTGTCCAGATGCAACTAGATCTTTGAAGGGCTTGGAATTGATAAAGATAACTCTTTAATTCTACCGAGTTCCAAAAAAGGCAAATGATGCAGTTTTAAGTCATTGTGCCTTTGTTTTCTTTGTTTTGGTTTCCTGATCTGGAAGATTCAATAAGAATTGATTACTTGCTGTTTGGATACTTGCTAATTATAAGGCAGGAGCCACCATTTTTTTCATAGTAATCTTATCTTGTTAGACATGATATTTAAGAATAAAAGGCGCCTGAGTAGCTCAGTCGGTTAAGTATCTGACTCTTGGTTTCAGTTCAGGTCATGATCTCATGGTTTTGTGACTTCGAGCCCTGTGTCAGGCTCTGTGCTGGCAGTGCGGAGCCTGCTTGGGATTCTCTCTTCCTCTCTCTCTGCTCCTACCCCCTCACAATCTCTGCCTCTTGCAAAATAAATAAATAAACTTTTTAAAAAAAGATTAATAGACATATAGCTTTTTTTCTCCATATCACTTACCACTTCCCCCCATAGTTTTCTGAGAGAATGGCTATCATTCTTTCCACTGATCCCAAAATGGCTCGATGAATGATCACAGGGTTCTTCTTATCATCTCCATCCTTACTAAAAATGAAAATTATACATTTATGTATTTTCTTAAGATTCAGGAATAACTTTATCTTCTTATATTTAAAAGTTATTTTCCTGAACTAGGTAAAACAACGATTTCCTCATAAATCATCTTTAAGCCTATAATGTGCCACTTATTAGAAATAATAATACAAACCAAAGGGAAATAAAGTACATTATGTAGGAAAAAGCAAAATTATAATAGATCACTATTTCCATTATAAGTCAACTTATTATTTTTATTCTAAACTACTGGCTGATATCAGTTTACAAGCAATCTTGCAAATCATAATTTTTAAAAATTAACTTGATTTTGAACCATGGCTTACTCCACCAGTACTATATTGAACAGTTGTCAAAGACAATGAAGAAATAAGGAAAATGGATTTCTACAGTTGACGTGATATTATATATAGACCTGAAAGGCACCATGAAAAACCTGCTAGAACTGATAATATAATAGTAAAAACTGATAATATATTTAGTAAAGTCACAGGATACAAAATCAATGTACAGATATCTGTTGCATTTCTATACATCAATAATGAAGCAGCAGAAAGAGAAATTAAGGTATCAGCCCCATTTACAGTTGCATCAAAAACAATAAGATACCTAAGAATAAACTTAACCAAAGAGGTGAAAGACCTGTACTCTTAAAACTATAAAATACTGATGAAAGAAACTGAAGAAGACACAAAGAAATGCAAAGACGTTCCACGATCATGGATTGGAAGAACAAATACTGTTAAAATGGCTTTACTACCCAAAGCAGTCTGCATATTTAATGCACTCTCTATCAAAATACCAACAGCATTTTTCACAGAGCTAGAAAAACAATCCTAAAATTGTATGGAACCACAAAAGACCCTGAATAGCCAATGCAATCTTGAAAAAGAAAAGCAAAGCTGGTGGCATCACAGTTCCAGACTTTAAGTTTTATCACAAAACTGTAATAATCAAAACAGTATGGTACTGGCACAAAAATAGACACACAGATTAACAGAACATAACAGAAAACCCAGAAATGAACCCACAATTATATGGTCAATTAATTTTCAACAAAGCTGGAAATAACATCCAGTGGGAAAAAGACAGTCTTTTCAACAAATGGTATTGGGAAAACTGGACAGCTACATGCAAAAGAGTGAAACTGGACTGCTTTCTTACACTATACACAAAAATAAATTCAAAACAGATTAAAAACCTAAATGTGAGACCTGAAACCATAAAAATCCTAGAAGGGAACACAGGCAGTAACTTCTGTGACATTGGTATTAGACTTTTTACCAGATAGGTCTCCTGTGGCAAGGGAAATGAAAGCAAAAATAAAGTATTGGGACAGCATCAAAATAAAAAGCTTCTGCACAGTGAAAGAAACAATCAACAAAACTACAAGACAACCTACAGAATGAGAGAAGATATTTGTAAATGACATATCCAATAAAGGGTTAGTACCCAAAATATATAAAGAACTTCTAAAACTCAACACAAAAAACTCCCCAAATAATCCAATTTAAAAATGGGCAGAATGGGGCGCCTGGGTGGCGCAGTCGGTTAAGCGTCCGACTTCAGCCAGGTCACGATCTCGCGGTCCGTGAGTTCGAGCCCCGCGTCAGGCTCTGGGCTGATGGCTCAGAGCCTGGAGCCTGTTTCCGATTCTGTGTCTCCCTCTCTCTCTGCCCCTCCCCCGTTCATGCTCTGTCTCTCTCTGTCCCAAAAATAAATAAACGTTGAAAAAAAAATTTTAAAAAAAAATAAATAAATAAATAAAAAATAAAAATGGGCAGAAGACATGAATGGGCATTTTTCCAAAAGAAGACATCCAGATGGCAAACAGATACATAAAAAGATGTTCAACATCACTTACCATCAGGGAAATGCAAATCAAAACTACAATGAGATATCACCTCACACCTGTCAGAATGGGTAAAATCAATAACACAGGAAACAATTGGTGTTGGTGATGTGGAGAAAAGGGAACCCTCTTGTACTGTTGGTGGGAATGAAAACTAGTACAGCCACTCTGGCAAACAGTATGGAGTTTCTTCAAAAAGGTAAAAACAGAACTACTCTACAATCCAGCAATCAGACTACTAGGTATTTACCCCCAAAAGACAAAAATACTAATTCAAAGGGATACATGCAACCTGACATTTACAGCAGCATTACCTACAATAGCCAAATTATGGAAACAGCCCAAGTGTCCATCAATCAATGAATGGATAAAGAAAAAAAAATCACACAATAGAATATTATTCATCTATAAAAAAGAATGAAATCTTGCCATTTGCAATGACATGGATGGAGCTGGAGAGTATTATGCTAAGCAAAATAAGTCAGTCAGAGAAAGACAAATGCCATATGATTTCACTCATATGCAGAATTTAAAAAACAAAACAAATGAACAAAGGTGGGGGAAAGAGAGAGAGGCAAATCAAGAAACATACTCTCAACTATAGAGAACAAACTGATGGTTACCAGAAGGAAGTGTGTGGATGGGTTAAATAGGTGAGGGGGATTGAGGGCACTTGTGATGAGCACCAGGTGTATGGAAGTGTTGAATCACCATATTGTACACCTGAAATTAATATTACATTTATGTTAATTAACTGGACTTTAAAACTTAAAAAATAATTTTAAAAAATGAGTATATTGCAGATATACTACTAGACATTTACTAGCCTGTATATTAATGTTTATTTTTATATTGCTAACATTCAAATGACAAATAATTAGCATATTAGTACTACATTATTTATCATATTCAATTACTCACCTAACATATGTAAGGTTAAATCTCACTGGTAGTTGGAAGTCCAGCTGAATTGTAGCACATTGATGGTATCTGCCAATAGCATCCTTGATTTTTATATCAATCTGTAAATTAAATGGTGTTTACTTAAAGACAGCTTTTCCTTTTCCTTTAAATTTTACTCTTTTTGAGGCATAGAGTCTACTTACTTTAGGGCCATAAAATGCTCCATCTCCAGGGTTCATCTTCCATGGTTTTCCAAATTCCACCAAGCTGTTTTGTAGTTGCTATTTTTTTTTTTTTTTTTTAAAGAAGAGAACATTTAAAACTTCCATTTCATTGTACATTTTTTTTTGGCCACATAGCTCAAAAAAGTAAGTTATTGCAAATTTTAATTATATTCTATTTTAGCTCAACATATATTTATTGGGCATGCTTTATATCCAATAAACTACTGAGCAAGGACTACATAAAGACAATTAAGTTGGTACTTGCTCTTATACACACTGTAACTGGGAAAATTAAAAGATAATGTACTAAGTTGTTTCAGTGAATTCCAGGCAAGTGTTTAGGGAGGGATTACTTCACCCTCCTGCCAGTGCAGCCCACCCTGCCCACACACTTCCCAGCTCTTTGTAGGTGAAGCCTCCACACATTAAAAGGCATGAAAGCTTTAATCTTTCTCCTTCATCCACTCTGTGTTTAGGTGGGTAAAAAGGCCAAAGGAAAGGGCCTTGCCACTGGTCTCTTGCTTTTCTTCCACCTCCATATGTGTGGCTGGGGACAGGTATCCTTTATGATTTATTCAGGGGTGGGAGCAGGAGGCCCACTTGGATCTTCAGCCTGACACATATGTTCTTTCACTGTAGCTTCTAGTGAAGACCCTCAGTACTTATGGGTGATTGGGTATACACGTAAGTATTAATAAAAGTGTCTTTGGGTCTTCTGGCTATTCCCTATGCCAGCCTCCTTGAGAAGCACCTGTGCATTCCTAAGTCCCTGCCCAGCATACCACCAAACCACTATCCAAAGTCCTGTCAACACCTTGAGATATTGGTGCCCATGAAGGGGGCAACATCTGGGAGTAAAATGCTGCCGAGAGAAGTCAAAGCAGTGGTGATGCTGGGGGGCTAAAGCCAGAGTAATCAACAAAGCTGACTCCTGGGGTCCCAGCAGGCTTCCCCAGGATCTCAGTCAGAGTGCATCAGGTGCTGGTCTTGGCTGAGATCCCAGGAGGCTCCCTCAAGGGCCTGATCCTACTATAGCAGCTTGCATTCTACTTTGGACTGGAGAGGGATACCACCACAGACGCACTTCACAGGCTGGCAAGCCAGCCTCAGCCTTACTCTGTTTCTGAAAGGAGAACAGACACTGGAATATCCTCCCAGAAAAAATGAGGCCCTGCTACAGCAGGCAACTAAGTGATGGGGAGAAGTTAGGGAGCTCCCAGGGAGGAGAAAGAAAGGCCAGGTTTTGGAGAAGAGCATAAAGCAGGTGGCACTGATCCTCAGTGAGCCTCTGAGGACACAGTAATCATAAGGCCTGACAGGAATAGCCAAGGCTAAGAAAGCTTTCTGTTTATGCAAGGTATGGGAGGAAGTGTCTGTCTGAGAGGAGACTGAACCATTGTAATTCACATATGTGGACACTGACTGCACCCTGGTAGAGGAAAAATCAAGATCTCCTTCTCTCTCTTGATGGTTCTCTATTCTCCTTTTCCAGGTAAACCAAGTCTCTGGCTCCTGATACACTGTGGTATGGTGCTGGGCTCTGCACATACTGATTTGTTTGGAACTGTGATGTGGGCTTGTAAGGTTCTTAAGGATCTTAATGACTCTGGAAACTCTGGAAAAGTGGGATGCAGGAGAGATCTGGAGTGGTTCTAGCTCCCTGGAGCTTGTAGATTTACATAAGTTCCAGTAGCAGAGGCCAGACCAGGTCTGCTGAAGCATCAGCCCAGACTCCCTTCAGACTTATCTGAGTGGGAACTCTACAGCTGAATTTAGGTTAAATTAAAAATTTGGAGATAGAACATTCAATTCCCATTTCTTTTGGATTTTAATTTCCACAAGAAAAAGTTGATTTCCTTTAGGTCACAGATTTCCTGATGAAACTTAATAGGAAGCAGGACTCACATCATTTCAATCTAGGATATTTTTTGCTCCTGACATTTTGGTTATTTGGGCAAGCTTTCATCTGATGGTCATGCTGTATAGCTCCCTAGTGATCTTTGCTGGGTTCCATAACTACACACAATCTGAGACAGAAAATAAGGTAATGGTGAATTGCTGACCCAGGAACAATTTGGCCTTGGGGCTGACTTAACTAATGTCTCTTTCAAAGCATTTTATATATATGAATTTCATATATATGAAATATTATATATATAATATATATGATATATGAATATATATCATATATATATGTATATTTCATATATATATGAATATATATATAAATACATATTCATCTCACTGATTCCCAGATCAGGGGTAGACATCATGAGAGAAATTCCCCCAGAGTGGAAGGATTCTCATCTCCTAAGGGAACAATCAGTCAGCTAAAAGAGCAAAACAATGGTGGAACTGCCCACCCATTCTCCCTGTGCCAGGCCCACACCTGGTCCATCCACCTTTTAGCCCCCTGCACTCCATGAATGGAGTGATGATGATGATGATACTACTACTACTATTAATAAAACGAACATCTAACATTTACTGAACACCTACATGTGGCTGGCACTATGACAAACTTCTCATATAAATTATTTCACTTAAGCCCATCATAACCTTATGAAGTAGGTGTTATCACCATTATCATCATCATCATCATAATCATCATCACCATTTCACAGACCTTAATGCTTCAAGATTTCTATAATTCACTCATGGAGCTAACCTCTGAAACTAGGCAAAAAAGAGTCCAGAGCCAAGCTTTGTGGCCTCATTTCCTCTTCCTACTTCCATGTGGCTAGGCAGGTAAACTGAGTCAGCATCCTGGGGCAGGGTGTCTAATTTGACTTTCTTCCTCCATGCAAAAGACATGGAAAAAGGTCTATTTAGGATGGGCATGGGGCAGTGGGGAGGAGAAGGGTCTAATCAGATCTCAAGCCTAAACTGCTTCTACCCAGTCTCTGCCTGCCTCAGTGCCTAATAGAAAACTAATTGTTACACTATCATACAGTGCTCCTCTGATTCTTATTCCTTAAAGATTTGTGTGATAAGCATTTATGAGTATTCCATGAAGAGGTGGACCAAAAGGCTGGTCAGGGATTAGGCATTCCTGGGGTGTCTGGCCATAATACCATATTCATTTCTAGTAAAATCTGACACAGGAGATACACTATAGCCTTTTCAAGTTTGGTGAGAAAAAATAAGCAGCATGGTGAGCTCCTTAATCTTTATTTTCCAAAGCTGAGATGTGATATGTGAGTCTCTGGGTGCCTCTCGACAGAGGACGGCACTAGAGGCTGTGACTTTGCAGGAGATTCAAGCATTGGGTGTGTGCATCTACATCTATGAGTCACACTAAGATGGATCAATGAGCAATAGCTTAAAATAAGCTGCACACACACCAAGAGTGCCTGCAAAGCAGAGGATTCCTTTAAAAACATGGGAAACTGGTATTAGTGACTGACATTGAAAGAGCACAAATAAAAAGTGTTTGAAACAAACGTGAGGTATTGTTATTATCACTGTTACAAAGAAAACTGGACAACCACCTTCTACAATCTTCATATCCTGTAACTTCCAATTTAAACATTTCTGTTGCAAAGCACTGTCACCTCATGCAGGGTACCTGCAGAAACTCGGGTGGTTTCCATGCTCACAGAAATGAAGGGGCGCGCTTTGTCTCTCCCTACCTTTTCAGCTTCATCCCATATCTCTACTTCTCCTAGGAAGTTTTCAGGCCTTGTTGACAAATTTAATTGAAAGGAGAAGCCAAATGTTGAGTAAACAGATTGCAAAAACTGCAAACACCCCTTTATTTCTTCTTCAATCTGAAATGAGAGCAAATGACATGTTCTAAATAGTTAACACCAAATCAAATCAGTTTCTGGCATTTAAAAGAATTCTCCGTGTCAGATAGAAATAAGGCATGTTTTTACTACACAGCTGATGACACTGTTTTGGTTGTTCATCCATTCCTTACTCAAATACTCAAGAAACGCCCACCGCACTCCAGGCGTGACCAGGCAACCAGCAGCTCCCAGTCCAGACAAGGCTACCTCACCATGAGCAATGCCACACAAAAGGGGGAAGAGTGGCTGTCCAGAGGGAGTGATAGCCAAGCTGCTGTGACAACAGGATAAGTAAGAGTTCTCCATGGAAAGCGAGGGGGAGGAGCTTCTGGAGCAGAGGAAATGCTAAGAGTGAGGGCCTAGAGGAGAGAGGGGCAGGCTAGGGCAGGGCAGCTCCAGGAAGCTGCTGTGGGACCACGTTGTGTATGAGACGGAAGAGCGGCACAGAAGGGAAGGGTAGGTGATCAGTCTAGGGGCAGACAGGGACCAGAGAAAATTAAGGATCTTCAAAGTCAGGGTAGTGTCTGCACTTTTTACCCTGAGAGCAATGGGAAACCAATGAAGGGTTCTTCAGCAAGAGACAAACACAATCCCATCGGTTCCTTTCATGGGAAGTGGACTGGCAAGACTAGAAGCCAGGCACATTGGGAAGCTGGTAGGGTCATTTAGGAGGGAGATGATGGTAGTTTGAACCAAAGAGAAGCAGCTGGAATGCAAGGAATTTGTGCCAAGTGCTGGAAATTCAGGAATGGATGAACAAAATTACTCAGGAATTAACAATACATTTAGGGAGAGCTATCAATAGGGCTTATGGTTAATTGGACATGAGGAGTAAAAAGTAAAGGGCACCTGGATTCCTGGCCTGGGCAGTGGACAGGACGTTGGTGCATCCACTGAATGAGTGACCAGGGAAGGGTGAGGCAGTGGTGTGAAGGCAAAAGCGGGGACTGATTTTACACATGGCAAATATGAGGATGCTTGTGATGGCCAGGGAGACATGTCTACCAGGCCCTGTCAGATTGAGATCTGGTGCTCCAGAGGGACAGCTGAGATGCAGGTGAAACTGGCAGCTAGCTGAGCCTACAAAGTAACTGAGGCCCCAGAGAGTGTGGTGAGATCAGAGCTAGGGGCTGTGAGGGTGTGGGGAAAGGAGGGCACATTTAAATGCAAACGGGATAGCTGCCCCCAAAACCAGACACATTTAGGAGAGAGGAGACAGGCAAGGATCTGCGTTTTGTCACTATGGATCAGTTTGAATTTTTCAGATGTTTTATCCATGGAATCATGCAGTAGATGCTCTATTTTTGTCTGGCTTTTTTTCACTCAGAATAATTATTTGGAGATAGATACACTTGTGTTATAAGTATCAATAAATCATTCCTTTTCTTTTTTAAGTTTATTTATTTATTTTGAGAGAGACAGAGAGAGAGAGGGAGGGAATATCCCAAGCAGGCTCTGTTGTCAGCACAGAGCCCAATGCAGGGCTGAATCTCAGGAACAATGAGACAATGACCTGAACCAAAATCAAGAGCCAGACACTTAACTGACTGAGTCACCCAGGTGCCCCTACATCATTCCTTCTTGTTTAGTAGTTTTCCATTGTACCACAGTTTCTTTTTATTTCCACCTATTATTGGGCATTAGGGTTATTCCTATATTGTGGCTATTTCAGATAAAGCTGCAATAAATGTTTGTGCTCAAGTCTTTGTAGGGATGTGTGCTTTCTTTTTCTCTTGGGGAAAAAAAAAAAGGAGTGAGATGGCTGGGTCATACAGGAGGTGTGCATTTAACTTTTTAAGAAACTAGTGAACTCTTTTTGAAAGTGATTGTACCATTTTACATTCCCATGAATGGGCCTGTCATATGGTGGATTACATTGACAGGTGTTCTGACACTGAATCAGCCTCACATCCCTGGAGGCTAAACCTCAATTGCTCATGATGTGGAATTATTTTTATATATTGTTTAATTCTATTTGCTAATATTATGTTAAGGACTTTTACATCTGTATCCATGTGGGATACTAGTCTGTAGTTTTGTCTGGTTTTGGTATTGGTTAAAAGTAGCTTCATAAAATTAACTAGGAAGTATTTTCTCTTCTATTTCAGAACAGAGTATACAGAATTGGTACTAATTCTTCTTTAAATGTTCAATAGCATTCAGTGAAAAAATCTGAGCCTAGAGATTTCTTTCGGGGAAGTTTTAAAATTATAAATTCAATTTCTTTAATAGTGACAAAGCTTTTCAAATGATCTATTTCTATCAGGTGATTTTATGGTAGTTTGTACTTTTTAAGGAGTAAGCTCATTTCAACTAAGTTGTCGAGCTGATTTATGTAGTTTATTACATTCATTTATTATGCTTTTGATGTCTTCAAGGTCTTTAGTGATATCCCCTATTGATTCCTGATATTGGTAATTTCTGTCTTCCCAGTTTTTTTCTTTCTTTGTCTTGAAGGAAGTTTGCCAATTTTGTTAATCTTTTTTAAAAAAGTTTTTTAACTCATTAATTTTTCCATTGTTTTTCTGTTTTCAATTTCATTGATTTCTGGTCTTGTCTTTATTGATTTATTCCTTCTTATTTTGGGTTTATTTTGCCCTTCCTTTTTTCTAGGTCTTGCAGTGGGAGTCTAGATATTGATTTGAGACTTTTCTTCTTTTATAATACATGTATTTAATGCTATTAACTTTTTAGCACTGTTTTTGCTGTGCCCCACAAATTTTGAAATTATATTTCCATTTTAATAGATTATTTTAACCATCTACATTTAATATGTTAGGACTTAAGTTTGTCTTTTTTGTTGTTTATATTGTTTCCTTCTTGTACTGTCTTATTATTCATTTTTCTTTTCTTTTTCCTGCCTTTCTATCGCCTAATTTAGTACTTTTTAGAATTCCATTTTTATTTATCTATTTTTAGCATATATCTATCTGTGTATATTTTTCCCCCAGTGGTTTCTCTAGATATTACATAACAGTTTACTGATGTCATCATTTTATCACTTCAAGTACCCAAACCTTACGTCCCTTTACTCCATTTATAGTATAATTTTCTTAGATGTTTCTTCATACATATGCTGAGAACCATATCAGACAGTGTTATAATCTTTGCTTCAACCATCAAGCATAATTTAGAAAACTCGAAAGGCAAAGGGAAATATATTTATCTTTCTTAGAGTACTTCCTAGAGCCATTATTTTAAGGTAGGTTTTGATTTCCCCTTCATTCCTGAAGGGTATTTTTTATGGATATAGAATTCTGGGTTGACAGTTCTTTCAGCATTTAAAAAGTGTTGTTCACTTCCTTCTAACATCCATGGTTTTTGATGAAAAATTTCCTTTTGTGCAAAAAAAATTTTTCTTAAAGATAATGTTGATCACTCTCCCATTGCTTTCAAACATTTTCTTTATCATTAGTTTTCAGAAATTTGGCTATGATGTGCCTTGGTGTGGATTTCTTTGGGTTTATCCTTTTGGGAGTTTTCTCAGCTTCTTGAATCTGTAGGCTTATGTCTTTTGCCAAAGTTGGAAGTTTCAGCCATTATGTCTTTGAGTACGTTTCACCTACATCCTTATTCCCCTCTTCTTCCAGAACTCTGGTAACATAAATATTAGGCATTTTGTTTTAGTTCCACTAGTCTCTGAAATTTTGTTCATTTTTATTTCAGTCTCTTCTCTTTGTTGTTCAAACTAGGTAATGTCCATGGTTGTTTTCAAGTTCACGGATTTTTTTTCTCTGTCCCCTCCATTCTGCTCATGAATCCATCTACTATTTTATTTCAGTTATTATGTTTTTCACTTCTAAGATTTACATTTGGTTCTTCTTTAGATCTCTTATTTCTTTCCTGAGATTTTCTATTTCTTTGTTGAAACTTTTTTATCATTTGTTTCAAGTGTGTCTGTAATTGCTTGCTAAGGCATTCTTATGATGGCTCCTTTAAACGAGATATCTTAGTGAGATAATGCTAATATCCTTGTCATCTCCACATTAGTGTTCATAGATTGTCCATTTTCATTAAGTTGAGATTTTCCCAGTTCTTGGCATGATGTTTGACTTTTGATTTATAAAATTTAAAGTTTGGGCAGTATAAGACCTTTAATTTTATTTAAACCTTCTGTTTTAGCTGGCTTCCACAGACTTCACTCCAACTAGAGGATGAAGTACTTCCTGGTTACTGCAAAGTGGGAATAGATGATCTAGGTTTCCCACTGGGGGGCCATGACTGCTGGTGACAGTGGGATTTCTGGTACTCCACTAGGTTTCCTCTGATAACACCTTGTCAGGGAGGAGTATCTTGTTACTGTGGCCATTACTGACCACATTGAGTTCGTGGCCTCATTACTGTGGGGTGGTAGTAAAAGTCCTATCTTTCCACTAGACCTTCCCTGACACCACTCAAGCAGGGAGGCACCTTGTTACTGCCAGATGAGGGTGGAAGTCTATGCCCACATGATACTCCACTGATACTATAAGGTGTGTGGGAGGTCTTTGTTAACATCCAGCAAGAATGTGAAAAATAGGTATTATTTTTTCTTCCAGTGCTTGGTAGAATTCACCAGTGATTCCATAATGGCTTGAAGTTTTCTTTGTGCAAAGCCTGTTCAGTTCCAATTCAACTTCTTTAATAGACACAGGGCTAGTCAGATTATCTACTTCTTGAATGAAGTTTGGTAGTTTGTCTTTCAAGGAAATTTGTCCATTTTATCTAAATTGTCAAATTTACTGGTATAAAATTGTTCATAATATTGCCTTGGTATTCTTTTACTATCTATAGAACCTGAAATAATGCCATGTCTCTCATTTCTAGTATTTTTAATTTGTACCTTCTCTTTTTCTTCTGATCAGTCTAAAAGTTTATAAATTTTATTGATCTTCTCCGAGAAATAGACTTTGGTTTTTACTGATATTTTCATTGTTTTTCTTTTTTTATATTTCACTGATTTCTGTGTTATTTTCTAATATTTACTTCTGATGTAATTTGGGTTTTTTTGTTGTTTTTTTTTAGTTTATTAAATGGAAGCTGATGTCATTGATATACATATTTCTGATATAGGCATTTAGTGCTACAAATGTCCCTCCAAGTATCATTTTAATGGCATCCCATAAATTTTGATGTATTGTATTTCATTTCATTTGATATATAATACTTTCTAATTTCCTCTTTGATCTCTTCTTTGATCCATGTATTATTTAGAAGTGTGTTATTTACTTTCTAAATATTTGAGGATTTTCCAGATAGCTCTCTGTTACTGATGTCTACTTTAATTCTCCTGTGACCAGAGAACATATTTTGTGTGAATTGAATCCCTTTAACTTTGTTGAGAATTTATTTAGTCCCAGAATATGGTCTATCTTGGTAATTTGTGTGCATTTTCAAAGAATGTATACTCTGCTGTTATTGGTTGAAGTGTTCTATGAATGTCAATTAGGTCAAATCATTTGATAGTGGCCTTTTTCATGACAATTTTTACTTGAAGTGACCTAAAAACCTGAAAAAGTAAACTCTCACTTCTACACAATGTTGAAAAACAAACAAAAAACCACAAAATTCTACCAAATCCCTTAAAATATTCCACTTAGTGTATTTAAGTTAATAAAACTGGAGGAAACTTTAAAGAAAAAAATAATACATTTCATGACTAGAGATTACTGATCTGTTACCCAAATTAGAGGATCGCAAAATGTTAGATCTGAAGGAGACTTCAGAGACAAGACCAAAGATCTTATTTTACAGCGACTCTGAAACTAAGAGATGTGTCCAAGGCAACACACTGAATTTATGCCAACCATGCTTCATCCTGTATTACTGTTTACCTGCTCTACTGTGCAGAAGATGTGGGCATCATCCTGCTGGAAGCGTCTAACTCGAGTCAAGCCACTTAAAGTTCCCGACAATTCATTCCTATGAAGAACTCCAAAATCAGCAAATCTTATAGGCATTTCCCTCCATGATCGCGGACGATGGGCAAACATTAAACTAGAAAAGATGCAACGACACATAGCTTGTACTTAGCACGGCAAAGATTAAGTAATTATCTAAATAATAAGTTACAATGACGCCTCAAGACTTGTAAACACCTTATTCTGGTTCTTAGATCACCAGTTTAAAAACAAATTCTAGGAATTATTGAACCTTGAATTTATATCACTGCAGTACTCTGAGAAAGGACCCTGTCTGTCCTCTCTTCCAGAAATTCTGTTCCATATTCTTATTCACCCAATGAATTTCCACTTACTGTGTACAATTTACTTCAAAGTCTACTTTTTTGTGTGTAAGTTTATTCATGTGGAGAAAGACAAAGAGAGTGAGTAGGGAAGGGGCAGAGAGAGAGAGGGAGAGAGAGAATCCCAAGCAAGCTCCGCACTGTCAGTGTGGAGCCCAATGCGGGGCTCAAACTCACAAAACATGAGAGCATGACCTGAGCCAAAGTGGGATGCTCAACCGACTGAGCCACCCAGGCGCCCCCTCAAAGGCTACTTCTTAAGTGAAGCCCTCTTGGACACTTCTGTAGGCAGGGCTGGGCAGTCTGCCCTCAGGCTCCAAGAACATCTGGAATGTGCCATTATTTTGGCACTGAACCTAATTGTTTTTTCAACATTTTTATTTATTTTTGAGAAACAGAGAGAGAGAGAGTGCAAGCAGGGGAGGGGCAGAGAGAGAGAGAGGAAGACACAGAATCCAAAGCAGGCTCCAGGCTCTGAGCTGTGAGCACAGAGCCTGATGCGGAACTTGAACCCATGAACTGTGAGATCATTACCTGAGCTGAAGTCAGATGCTTAACCGACTAAGCCACCCAGGCACCCCAGATTTGCTTCACTTTTAATACTCACCAATGCCCTGGACAGTTCATGGGCTTAAGGGCAAAAGTGTCCTTTTCAACATCAAAGGTAAACATGTTCTCACTGTAATGCTGCCAGTGGCCTGAGGTTTCCCAAAGCCTGCTGTTGTACATGTTGGGAGAGAGCACCTCTGTGAAGTTACGTTGGTGATATTCCTCCTTTAAGATAAATGCGTTGAATGTTAAAATGTGGCACGACAGATCACAATTCCACACGAAGTAACACCAGGTGCAAATATTTTTAACTTAGGATTACATCTTTTTTTTTTTAATGTTTATTATTTATTTTTGAGAGAGGGAGAGGCAGAGTGCAAGCTGGGGAGGAGCAAAGAGAGAGAGGGAGACACAGAATCCTAAGCAGGCTCCAGGCTCCCAGCTGTCAGCACAGAGCCCGACGTGGGGCTCGAACTCACGAACCAGGAGATCACGACCTGAGCCAAAGCCAGACGCTCAACTGACTGAGCCACCCAGGCGCCCCTGGGATTGCATCTTATATTAATTCCTGGTTAAGGTGCCCTCAGTTTTAGGTGTCGTACTCTCTGGGTCATGAAGGTTAGATTAATGTACTCTCAGTATAATTTTCATATTAAGTATCTTTATTTTATATTATACAACTGCATATAGTCCATGTTTTAATTCTTTGAAAATTAGTAATTGAAATTATATATAATTACATATAACATCTATTATATGTATTATATACTATTATATATTATATTATTATGTATACATAAGCTTTCTATAACTACAAACTCCCAAATCCTGCTATATTCTAGATAAACAGCAGGATTTTTTCTATACTGAAGAGGTAAAATAATTTCATAACTCAATAAGCCTGAATGCTACATTGCATGCAAATTTACTTTTGATCTATTTAGTTTTATCATTATTTTTTAAAGTTTATTTACTTATTTTGAGAGAGAGAGAGAGAGAGAGAGAGAGAATGAGCAGGGGAGGAGCAGAGAGAGAGAGAATCCCAAGCAGGTTCCAGGCTGTCAGTGCAGAGCCCAACACGGGGCTTGATCCCACAAACTGAGATCATAACCTGAGCTGAAATTCAGATTGGTTGCTTAACTGACTGAGTCACACAGGTGCCTCTGATCTATTTAGTTTTAAATAGAAATGAAGCTGAGAATTTTAATTTTTATCATATGAAGTGTTTGAAATCTATAAAGTCATGAACTGGCTTTTCTCCCTCCCTCCCTGTAAATGGCTTCCCTACTTCAATCACTGAGGACAGGAAAAGAGAGTCAACCGAAGTACTTATTTTAATTTTTGTTTCTTCAGATAGCAATCAGATGACCTTTGTTGCTGGTTTCCTAGGTTCTTACCCTCTGTTAATCACTTAAGAAATACCTGGTACAAATCTAGACCACCATATTTTAATGAAGTAAAAAAAATATTTTTCACAATTAAAAAAGTCTGAAACATGACATTTTAAAATTACTAACACTTAAAAGGATGCTATTTGTTACTCTTTGGCAGAGCATCTTTTCAGCCACTCGTGGATAGCTGGGTGTCAGCCATTCAGTAAGCTGCTTTACCTAGCCTTCATTTTTACTAAATGAGAAAGTTTTAACAAAAGTATAGGTTATTACAAATAGCACTAATTATTTTGTGGCTATGTCAGATACCGCTATATATTCAGATTAAACAAGGTCCCCAAAATTGAAGAACTGTTGGTGTGTTTGCTTATTTGTTTTTACTAGAGACTAGTTTAAAGCTTGGCTCAGAGATGATGATGAATCGATTTTTAAACCACTCTGGGTACAATGCTACTCATGTTAGCAATTCATGTATTTGGGAATGATTTTAAAGTATGTCTTAGGGGTGCCTGGGTGGCTCAGTTGGTTAAGAGTCCAACTTCGGCTTAGGTCATGATCTCGCAGTTTGTGAGTTTGAGCCCCGCGTTGGGCTCTGTGCTGACAGCTCGGAGCCTGGAGCCTGCTTTGGATTCTGTGTCTCCTCCTCTCTCTGCCCCTCCCACGCTCATGCTCTGTCTCTGTCTCTCAATAATAAGTAAACACTTAAAAAAAATTTTTTTAACTATGTCCTATGAAGGGAATGTCATTATGTCTACTGCTTACTTAGTTTAGCAAAAACCAACTATAACTACCATCTACATGCCTCATCTCTATATATTATAACATACACATGAAATATATGTATTGTTTTGTCTTTCTTATACACACATGCATACATGTAAGAGAAAGATAAGGCAAACTGGCAAAATGTTAAAAATTGATGAATCTAGATGAAAGATACATGGATGTTCAGTGTACTGCACTTTAACTTTCTGTAGATTTGAATTTTTCAAAAGAAAAAGTTGGGGAAAAATATATCTCATACCATTTCATCAATTTATTTCTCTAAAGAGTAAAGAATATCAAGTGCTGGCAAAGAATACAGCCATGCTGGTTGAGAGGTCTACAGCTCAGTCTGGTCTCCTGAAGAAACCCTGATCACTTATTCTGAAGATTAAAAATCATATTTCATCCATGGGAATGCAAGCTGGTATAACCACTCTGGAAAAAAGTATGGAGGTTCCTCAAAAAACTAAAAATAGAACTACCCTACAATCCAGCAATTACACTACTAGGCATTTATCCACAGCATACAGGTGTTTCAAAAGGACACATGCACCCCCATGTTTATAGCAGCACTATCAACAATAGCCAAAGTATGGAAAGAGCCCAAATGTCCATCAATGGATGAATGGATAAAGAAGATGTGGTGTGTATATATATATATATATATATATATATATATAT